CATTACATGTAAAATTTATTATTCTGATATTTTATGATCTGTTATTCTATTAATAACTATTATTATAGTGGTAATTTATAGTGAGGTAATATATAAAAATTTTATCATCTGGTATTGTAAGTTAGAGTTAAATATAATTTCATATCTTGTATCTTGGACTTCTGGAAATTTATTCTGAAACTAGTAAGCTTGTTATGACTCTTTGACTGAAAACTGCAAGCTCTATTATGTTGCCTTTTGTTATGCAACTACTTTTGACATAATATTCAAAATATGCGAGAATAAATATCATCGCTAGTAACAGTTGCAGATGTTTATATGATTTCTGTATGCTTTTATATCTCAGAATATCCATTTGGTTTAACAAATGAAAGTAATGGTTCACCCAATGTTCCTATTAGAAAAACGTATTCATGTAAGGTATTAAACTGAAATCTATAAGTATGAAGATCAAATCGCAATTATTTTAATAGTTACTGTTGCTTAAGCTTCACATTAAATGTCTATTTTATTTGTCTGAAGGAAACTTATCTATTAGAATTTCTTATTCTGTCTGATATGCCTATTTATTATTTTGTTGTCATTACAACTGAAAAATGTCAGTATTATATTTAAGGATTTTTCCAAATTTGTATTTTCATTGAGTTTAAATGAATGAAATGCATATTGTTTTTTTAATATTCTTTCTTAAATTTTGTTATTTATGAAATATGCTTTGTAAAAATGATTGCATGATTATTTTATTGATAGTTTCTGTATAAAATTAGTGCAGATGAATAATTTAAAATAAAACCTGTTGTGTATTATAGGCTCCAAACCTTACTACAAATAACAATTAAGAGAAAAATCGCCATATTTTCAATTAATCTGGTTTGTCTACAATTTTGTTATCTTAAAAAAATCATTTAGTTTGTTTAGATACTCTTGTTGATTTGTAAATGCCAGAAAGAAATCTGTCAATTTCATAAGTTTAATAGCATTTTATGACACGCAGACAAGCTATGCCGCATTGTAATCATAATTTTAATACTCTGTCGATACTAAGAATTTTTTCTTCAGTGTTGTTTACAGTTGACATGTGAAATAATTATTTAAATCTGAATCTTCAGCGTTTATTGTTCCACATGTCAACCATTTGTCCGTTTGTGAAGTTAGGGAATAAGTGTGCTGCAAAGATGTTTATTGCACCAGCAAAACGCATTCAACTTTAAAAACAAAGATGGATTTAAAATTTCACTATTACGTTCTACGACTTGTGCATTATACTCATAGGTATAATGCACAGGTTGAATCCAAAGGGTTGAGTAGTACAAATACTTGCTAGGGAATCAAACTTGAAGCAACAAATTCCCTCTTGTATGACAGCAGATATTTGATTAATTATGTTGTAGTCATGAAAAGGGCTAAAATAGAATTCTAATGGAAGATTGAGAATAATTGTATTTTTACTATATTTTTATAATGAAATTAAATTACTATTTTAGTATGAAAAATCTCTCATGTTTCTTGATTATATTAACTCTGCCACTCATCAAGCGTATGTGAGCTTTATTTTAAGAATTGTTGTTTTGGAGAAACACACTAATGAGCTTTGATGCAGCTTTGTCGAACTCCGATGCAGTTTTGTTGTTAGGTATACTTTGGGTGTTACCCCAAGTAACTAATGATTGAAATGTTATATGGCTATTGTGCATTATTTTAGTAATGTTTCAGAGCTTATCAAACTCTTGATCGAAAATCTTTGAGCATCTCTAAATTTTCTAACAGCATTGTGTTTTCTTCTATGAAATGATTTTTTTCATTTCAATCACTAGTTTCTCTTGTATGATTTCCAAAGAGTTAAGTAAGGACTTCTTGCTTTTGCGGCCAGAAAACATGTTGAATACAAATGCATGATATTGGATGATCAGTTTTTTTATGACCTTGAGTCCACAAGTTTGGGACCAAAAATCTACCTTACAAACTTCTTTAAGAAAACTTTGTTCTTTTAGGATGTAGAAGTTGCCATCCGTGAATGTGTACTGTCATATATGACTTTTGAATAAGACATTTGTCTATTGTCTTATTTTGTATATGAATGCACCTTCTTTGCCTCTGCAGAATCTACAGGAACTGGAGACATGTTTAGAACATAAATATCAGTTCCATAAGAGTGTCATTGATACAGCTGAAATGACAATATGGAGATTGCTGAGTGATGCTAAAACATCAGATGGGGTGTTCCAGGATGGTTACTGTATAGTTCCTACATCATTAGGCTGTAGGGTGCTGTCTGTGCATTGGTGATTCAGTGGTGGGTGAGACCTTAAATATGAAAGATGTGGAAGACTGAGGTAGCCTAATAATATAATCTTTAATTGTTTACTTATTGTTTTATTTCTTAAACTTTGTTATGGTATGGGGTGATCTTTCATGCACTATTAACCACACTGAATCATCATATACAGTATTGGTGCTTCAGTGCCAAAAATTGGATAATTAAAAGCTGTTGACCATTATTTGACTTAATTCTGAGATGAGTAAAGGTTGAACAGTTTTAAATTTTTCTAATCCGTACTTCCAAGGGAAGGTCTCTTTGAACTTCTAAATTCTGAATTAATATGGATAATTTTTCTAAAATAGTTGACGAGAGAAGTAACATTCATGCCAGTGTTACTAAGCTTGTTAAAGTAGCTGAAAAGCTCTCTGAAGCTGCTGAAAGCTTAAATTCGTTATTAAAGTTACTGGAACTTTAAAAAATGAAAGAACAAATTTTTGGAAAGCTATGATCTAATGACAGAAGTACTCTTAAACAATCCAAAAAATTTAAAAGAGAAAGAAAAGGTTTGGAAGAATATAATGATAAAATGTTATGTGCTAGAATTAAATAAAGAACAAAATTAGAGTTAAAACCAGAAAATATTCGGCTGACTCCTTTAGTTTACAATACATCTCATATTTCGGATGATACTGTTACGATTTTAAAATCGCCAAATTAAAGAATCTTACGATTCTTTGGTGATTCTACCGTATTTATGGAATACTTTAATTAGTTTGCTAGCACATCAGTTTAAATGATTCTGTCACAAAAATTGAAAAATTCCAATATTTAAAATTCCTTCTTTTGGGTCCTGTATGTAATGTTGCTAGTTTTGAAGAGCACTATGACTCATGTCTTAACAAATATATTGTAGAACTGCTTGTATTATAAATTCTTGTGTGATAAAATTATTAAACTTGAAGCTAGTTAAAAGTTTTTCTTACATTAAAAATTTATGTAAATAAATTATATGATGAACTAAAAGTTAATATAAAAAATTTATATTAATTATATATAACGAGGGGCTCATGTGAGCGTTTAAACAATCCTATATTATTAAACTTGTTACCCGAAGATTTGGTTTTTCATTTTCACAGAAAAGAAACAAGGAAGGGAATTATAAGGCTTTAGAAACTATCACATTTTTGAGAAATAAAGTGGAATCTAGGGAAATTGCATAAACTGTGATGAGTTGTCTAAAGAGTTATAAAGGAAAAAGATCTTTTTCTCAAAATTAACAAAGCAAACTTATTAAAAAAATATTTAAAGCTTTAAACTGTTTCAATTGCTTCAGCACTAAATACATAAATAAAAATGTTAGTTTACCTTATAATAGTAATCATGATTCTATGAATTGCAAAAAACAGGACATAGAATAAGAAGTAAAAAAAAAAAAAAAATCAATGATTGAAGGTGTGTGTGCTGGTCCCATTTAAAAAATATATATAATATCGTGCTGTTGTTAAGTAAAATTGTGCACAAAGGGAACATGAAACACTCGGTGCATTTGTTTTGTAATTTAGGAAACTCTTCGTTGTGTTAAGTTTAATTTGAAGTATAAAACTGTTAGTTTTCTTTCTGTGTATTAATGATAGTTGTAACTATGCTGATATGTTTCTGTATCTTGATATTTGAATAATTTTATTTAAAATGTTATTTGTATGTGTATATCAAGTGATGGGAACAGTTTTGCTGTTTATTATTTTGATGTAATATTTTGTGTGTGTTTTTATTTATGTAAATTTAAATAATTCCTAGATGTAGGCTTTGTTAAAAGTCAATGATTAGTAAATTCATGTGAGTTCAGGTGAGGAGTATTATTATATTTCCCACTGCATTAGTGTTTGCAAAATCTAAATAACTAGGCTAACTCTCTTTCAAGTTCAATATATACATGAAGAGACTCCAGGGTCTCATTAAGAAACTCAATGATATTATGATTCACAGCCAGAAAATTCCTTCAAACTAAATGTAGTGCATTACAGTTACTGCTTTTTATTATGGTCATGGTGAGCAATTTTTTCTTATTTGTAGATCCTGCATATTTAGAAAATGTTTAGTTTGAGAATTAACAGAATCTTATTTTTATCAAAATCTATCAGCTTTAGTTCCATTCTCATTCTTCCAAAAGGAAAGAGTAGTTTTACTTCTCCTGCTAAAGTAGGTGGTACCATAATTGCTGCCTTTTCCCTGAACTATTTATTCTCTCTTTCCTATAATGAATATGAAAATAAGTAATGCAAGATAAAATATATGAAACAACTCGTAAAATTTTGTTTATTTTTGCACTTTTAATTTTTGTTCGTTTTTGCACTTTTAATCTTTAAAAAAGTATATGTAGTACCTTTTAAAATAATCACTCTAAATTCATTTATTTTCTTGCAGTTATTTTTTATTAAATTAATTTTTCATATTTTTTTTAATATGGGAAATGTAAATATTATGGTGTTTAATAGATAGGTATTAAATTTATAACTGGACAATTTGTATTTTGAAACTTTGCTTAGGTTTAATATTGTTACTAGTTTTATTATTGTATTTTATTACAGTTATATTTTTATCATAACATTTGAACTATGATAAAAATATAAGTTTTAAACAAGATTTAAGACACTTTTAAGCTTTTATTATTCAGATTTGGCATTTAAAAATTGTATGTTTTGTTATAGAGTTACTTACATCTTTTAATTCTAATTTTTAGGATCTTCGTTACTTCAAAGAAAATAAAGTTCAGAATGGGCAAAAGGTAAAGTATACATACATATTACACTTGTAATTTTGGATAAAGGCATGCATATATATTTAATTTTCATGAACCTTTGTTTAAAATAAAACTTGTCACAATGAGAAGCTCAGTGTAATTAATACTCCATTAAGATGGTAGGAGCAGAGATGAATTTTAAAAATGAGATAACTTCTGAAATACTTAAAAGAATGTGTGCTGCAAATAGATGTTTTCATGGCCAGAAGAGCTATTTAATATCCAGTTTTTCTCAAGTTAACTAAATTACTTCTTTACAAAGTTTTATAAGATTTGTTCTGACGTAAGGGTAAGAAGCTTGAGCACTGACTTTATGTGATGAGAATGCTGTGGGAATTTTTGAGAGAAGGATATTTTGTTGCATACTTGGTGGGGTCTGTGTGAATGGGTCATAGAAAAAATGATCTGATTTAGAGCTATACAAGATCTGTAGACAACCTGATGTAGTAAACTTCTTCAAGTTATTAAATGGGCTAGTCGTATGGCAAGAATGCATGAAAATCTTGTGGGAATCAGACCTCAGGGTAGACCCATGCTGTGTTGCCTGATTATGTGACTTTTGCAAATTTTTTACTTTTGACAAACTTGTGCTACTAAAATTTCAGTATTTGGGAAATTTTTGCTACCTGCATCATTTTCTTCTGCTGCTCTTTTGAGACTTCAAAGATTTTTTAATATATCGTAAAATGCTTGTATGTTAAAATAAGGTATCAGTTAAAAATAATTTATGTTAAACAGTTTATTTTGGCTTAAATAGAAGTTTGCATCTTGAAACACTGTTTACGTGCGGACAAAGTTGCACATCCTCATGTTGGTTTAACAAGAAGGGGATAAGGAAAGGGGGAAACGTGGGAAAGGAAGAAGAAAAACTGCTTTGAGGCCTCTCAACCTTCCTCCCCCATGTGCAAGTCGACATTGACCGCCTGGTTTAGAAAATTTAGAATATGTGAATATGCTTATAATTAGAATAACTATTTTATTCTATCTGTAAAACTCCAATATATCATTTTTACACTCTTATTAAAATCTTGTACAAAAAGTTCAAAATTTTGCTGCAAAATTGCTTTATTGTATAATTGATACATTGACCAATTCCATATAAACAATAGCAATAAAAGAAAAAAAATTGAAAAAGGATGTGAAATGGAGAATTATTTACCTTAATACTAATATTCATGATTTTGGTGCTCTAGAAATTTTATTTTTAAGTCACCCCTTCCCAGTTCTATGGTGATAACAAATTGAACAAAAGAACTTGTGCACCATGTATTCGGTACCCAGAGAAAGAAATGTAATTTGTTCTCCTGCTTATAATGTTGCTAAGAACTATGGAATGGAAATGACTACTAAAAACATTTAGTACAAAAGTGCTAACAATCTAAATGTGAGGAATATCTTTCAAAATAATTTAAAAACAGAAACCTAAATTAAATGAGAATTAATTTAAAAAGGAATGGATAGTTAAACAATTGAAGATGAGCAATATAGTTTCAAAATTTCGTTAAAGGTAAGATACGTAATTAAAATGACTAAGAATTGAATATAGTCTGTAACTTACTGAACTAATAGACAGTCAATTTGTGATGATGTCAGAGGTCATATGGGCACGCGTAACTATGACGTCACAAAAATCCTGTGATCTCTGACATCATTTGCGACTTTTTTAGTCTTCTTTTGCTACTTTAGTTGAAAACTTTCTGGCAACATTGGACCCATGGTGAGATGGATCAGTTGTGTTAAAATGACCTAAGCATTCTAAAGGTAGAAACTGGAAAACAGTTGCAAAAAGCAGAGATGCCTGGAGGAGGCCAGGGCCTTCCATGGGCTGTCAAGCCAAGGATGAAGTTGGTAGGATTCAAAAATTGCTAGAAGCCTGTTCATAAAAACTCGGCTTCTTCATCTGTAGACAATGTTACGGAGGTGGCTGAGATTAAGTAGCATTTATGACTGACTAAGATTTTTGACAGATTTCAGGATTCAAAAAGGATTGGTTTGATGAAAAATCAGATTTGTAGAATGACTGCATTTTCTACGAAGTCTTGAAATTCCTGAGAAATCAGTACTGTTGTGTGTTATCTAATCCAGAGCTAAACTGTATTTAATTTCAACAGTATAGCTGCACAAAATCTTACAGTGCTTGCAACACTAGAAATTTTCTAAAAATTTTTATCATTGTGTTATGGAGCAGCTGTAAACATTCCGTGGAATGTTGTTCCCCTTTCTACTGCGTGATTGTTGGATAGGCAAAGCCTGTGTTTTAGATGGTTAGAGAGCATTACCTTAAAAAAAGTGAAGTACTAACTGAAAAGATAAAGTTTGGAGCAGCAAGGGAGGGAGTTGAGACATTATCATTATACTGAATGTGGGGTCTTAATTTTTTAGTCAATTTTTTTTTTCAAAAACTATGCATAGGGTAGTTCAGGGTTCGTACGATCCTTAAGAGTCCTTAAAAGTCCTTAGATTTGTTGGAAACGATTTTTGGTCCTTAAAAGTCTTTAATTTTGGCCAAAATCAGCAGAAGGTCCTTAATTTTAATCATCTGAAATATTTGTCTATTTTTACAACTGTCATTTTGAGTGTGAATTAGCATTTTGAAGGAATATTTTTGGGCATTCACTGTTGTATATCTTTTGAATCTTAATTTTATTATCTTTTGAATGGGTTCCTGAGTTATAATTTGTTTCTATTTCTAATATAAATGATGGGATACTTAAGTTTCTAAGCAAGAAGTGAAATATAAGCATTTCAAAAAAAAAAAAAAAAAAAAAAAAAAGAGCTCTTAAACAACTTTTTTCTTTTGGAGATGTAAATTCTTTTATTAAACGGTTCTAAATTTGGCGACGTCTCAACAAGATTAGGTTGTATAGAAACTTTTTAATTTCGAGATCTGAGAATTTTTCAACGATTTTTTTAAAACATCGTAACATTGATAAATTTAATTAAAATAATGGTAATATATTGAAATTATATTTAAAAAATAACATTAAAATAAAACAGTTTTATATTTTGCTGTTATATTATAAAGTTTCATTTTGGCAACTAGCGACCAAGCGGTAAAGTCGCTTAACTCTGGTATTTCGGTCCGAGGTTTGAATCCTGCGAATGGGCTGGCTGCATGGGTGTTTTTGTGGTTTTCCCCATGTGTAACGTGTATATAAGCCAGTTTCCCTTAGAAAGTCCTCCATGAAGGCATCCCTCCCCTTAGGCAGATAGCCCTCGAGGTTTTGTCGTAATTAAATAACCTAACCTAAACTAAACTAACCTTTTGGCAACTTATACAATATTTTGAATCTGAAAAATAAACAAGGTATAATGCTATAAAGCACAATTTACGAAACAGCTCTTAGCAAAAGCAAAATGAGCTATATAATGAATTAAAAATGTCTTATTTTTTCATGGTAAAAGTTTTTACCATGTAATTAATTGTCTCGGAATATTCAAAATTCTCAGAATGTGCATCAGCTTTCTCCATAAAATTAATTTTATACTTTTTCCTTCCTTCCTTCCTTTTTTTTTTTTTTTTTTTTTTTTTCCCGAAATATTTCTGGCTTTTTGCTGTTACAGAAATGGTAGGGATAATTTTTCTTTAGGATTTTAGACATTGCAGCTTGGAAAGTTTAGAAGGATTTGAAGGCAAGATTTAGAGACCCACGATTCTAGAAGATTCGAGAATTATGTGTCAAAATGAAAAATGTTTTCTGGTATCAACACGTAATGGATGTATTTTACAGAAAGTTTGCAATGAATTTCTTACTTTTTGGAGAACATCTGGAAGAGCAATGAAAACATAATATTTGAATGTTTTACTTCTGATACTAGAATCTTTTTTCTTAACGTGTTTATCTTCCCTTTATTTTCTCTACTTTTCACTAGACTCAAGCATAGAAAATATCAAAAATGCTTCTAATCTTATCATATGGACAGGCATTATAGAAAAGAATACTTTTATTGACACTTTAAATGATTCATCTAGTATGTCTTAATGCATCATACACATAGCTGGCACTACACATTTTCCCACCTGATGCAATCTCTGTGGATCCTAAATTCTGCTGCCTATTCTAGATTCTGCTTCCAGTGCTTGCTCTAAATTCTAAAAGTTTTGCCATTCCTAGATTTTGTGGTTTAGTGTGTCACTAAATTCTAGAAATTCTGCCACATCAGCTCTGTAACCAGCCTTTACTATATATATTTCATATTTCTTCTGCATGTTACTAAACATGTTTTTTCTTCTGCATGTTACTTTACTTCATTCATATTACTAAAGAAATAAATCTAGCTCCTTTTTCTGTACATTCTAAATGCATTTAGTATTTTTTAGAATAACAGAAATCCTTAATTAAATTCTAAAATGAAAAGGAAATGTGATGAAGAAAGAAACTGAATACATAAAGAAAGTTATTGTTCAAAGATATGTGCAGTTATTATTACCCAATTGTTTTTGATTACAGCCTTTACTATAATTTCCCATTTCTGTTTCCTCATAGTGTTATTGAGCCAGATTAAATTAAAATTAAATTGTATAATCTTTGACCACTAGTCTACATTATTAGTTTGAATTTGACTGTTCTTGTTTAATTATGTCACCGTGAGCAATTGATTTTGTTAGCATCAGAACATGCCTTTATGTTCTAAGTTCTTTTTAAATAAGAGCCTTATTTAAATTTTATTGTCTGATATTGTAATTAATTTCAGACATAGCAATAATATGGTTCATGTCTGCTGGGGGTTTTAGACGATTTAAGTTTTACCGGATCATAGGACCATAGGTACATTGTGGAGAGGTTGACAAGTTAGATAAAGCAGAAACTAGCGAGAGCATTGGTTTGCATATTGAGACAAAACTGTAATTGTTATAAAAGATGCTTAAAGAGAAGGAAATCGATATAAACTAGCCAAAATGTCTGGGAAGGCTTCAAATTAAAATTTCGGATAAATATTTTGTTGAGTTTTGTTGTTACAAAACATAAATATTTTGTAGCTTTTAATGTGTAATTATCGTAATATCGTTTAAGAATCTGTGTCATAAATTGCATATATTTTAAACTGTGAAATTTTATTAGATTTTGATTTTAATAGGGCTTTTTTAACAAATATTGTTAAAAAATAAAATTTAATAGTGGTCATGTAAATTCATAACGACTAACCTTATCAAGCTACCTAATTTAATTATTTATAACTAACTGCTTACCCTTAAAAATTATCTCTACATATTAAAGTGAGTTATTGCCTTTCATTAACACTCACTCTAAACACAAAATAAAATTTATAAATTTAAAAATTAAAGTAAAACTTATTCTTTGCATCTGCTAAGACTTAAAATAATACAAAATGACTTATCACCTCTGGTACTTTAATGGCTTATTGGAACCTTAAAGTATATTAACTGGGTTACAATACCCTTGGAACTCTACACTAAAGCTGTGACACTAACCTTGCATCAAACAGAGCCTGACTAACTTTTCAACACTTGCCAACCGTGCCTACATCAGGCCTTTCAGGTTTGTTTTAATCAGCAGGTCTCTATCTAGACAAACAGCAACAGCGACAACATTCAGTCTTTTAATTATGAATCATGCTAATTATGATCTTATTTCTCATTTTAACGATGCCATTTGACATAAAATCTATCTGCTTATTTACTAAAACCTCTAGACTGACCAAGTATGTGACAAAATGAGACATAAAAAAAAAAAAAAAAAAAAAAAATCAACATAAAGCTAACTGTTAGTAAAACGTAAATGTCACTTATCTTCTTTCAAATATGACCAACTATTATAAGTGTAAAATATTTAATGCTACTTGATAAATTGCATAAAGTTTTATTCTCAAACTTATTAACAATTATGTTAATTAATTCATGTTTAGTATTAATGCATACTACTTAGAGATCTATTTTATTTTTAGGATGGTTTTACAAAAGTGAAATTCATGCATAGATAATATTTTCAATTGCATTTATTCAGTTGCCATTTGCTCATAGGTCCTTAATTTTTTTCATTAATGGTCCTTAAAAGTCCTTAATTTCCGCATGCAGAAATGTGTACAAACTCTGGCAGTTATAAATTTTTAACTGCTTTTTATCCCTTCAGAGTGAGAATACCATTATGAAAAGTTTGTGGGGCATTTATGGTACATCCTGCATGTTCTTTTATGTACTGTGTTTAAATATACGATCACTGGGCTTGTTGTGAGTTCAGGTATGTGGTGTTTCTGGAACTCAAAAGTAGTGTTGTATGATTAGAAGAAATTTCTGTTATTAACATGAGTTGGTATTTACATATGTTAAAAATATAATTTCTGTTGTTTTAATGCTGTATAATTTTTAGTATTTTGGAAAATTTTTAGCGTGATGTGATTATTACTCTTGATTCTTGTTAATTCATTTTTTACTTAACTTTTACATTTTCAATGTTTTTCACTTTTAATATTTTCATATTAAATATTTTTCATGTGCTTGATTATTGGATTTTATTGATTTTTGTTCCCCTTTCTTAACTTACTGAGTTGCATCTGTATTTTTCATAAGGCAAAATAATTTTTGCTTTCTTTTCATTTCAGTATCCATTTGACAGAGCAGAGAAATTTAATAGAGGTATACGAAAACTTGGAGTGACTAATGATGGACAGAGTTACCTGGACCAATTCCGACTGTTGATTACTCAGATAGGTAAGTGGGCAGAATAGTTTTTTATATCTTTGTACCTGATTCACAAACTGTTAAAAGGAGAAAATAACTGTATTTGGTATAGAAACAAAATTCACATTCACCATTACATTCATTAGAGTGACATTAGATATATTTATTCATGAAAGGTCTTGGCATTTGCCAAAAGTTCGTTCAAGATATATTGCTCACTGCTTGGCTGGCTCTCCTAAGAAAAAGTAATGTTCTTAAATTTTGATACAATTTTTTAATGCATTAAATTTAATGACTATAATTTTAATGCAGTTAGTCATTAGAATGTAAACTTAATAGAGAATAAGCTGTGCAAATTAGAATTAAATGAAATAAATTGAAATAAAATAAAATTAAACATTTCTCACAACCCAAGTTTAAGCTGTTTCATCTTATGTTTGTCTCCTTAATTTTGTAGAAATATAATTTCTGTTTTAGATACACTGTTATTGGCTTATCCTCAGAGTTCTGTAATTGCCATGTAGAGAATTCCCATTAATTAGTCAACTGAAATATCTTTATTCTCAACAACCTCTTTGACCACTGGTAGTTTAGTCTGGGTTCGAGTCTCATCAAACAGGCTGGCTGCATGGTTATTTTCTTGATTTTTCCTGTGTATAATGCGGATTTGAGCCAGTTCCCTTAGAAAGTTCTCCATGAAGGCACCCCTCCCCTTAAGCAGCTAGTACTTGAGTGCTTTGTCATAGTCAAATGAACTGCCAAACTAAAACCAAATCAACAACCTCTTTATCACTTTTTTCAGAATCTGTGGTGATATTTTCCAGATTTAAAATCAAACCATAGATTTCAGCATCCATTTGTAGATTGTTGATAGGGACATTGAGATCTCAATAAAGACTTTGCTTATGTCATATTCATGTATAATTTCTTCACTTATTCCATTAGTTTTAAAACTTCACAGGTTTTTTCTTTCAGACTCACTTGGTGTTCCTTTTTTTCTTCTGTTTGTGTATTTCCTTTGTTCCAGCTGTCTCCAGTTCGGTTTTGTTTCTTTCGTTAATTGAAATGGGATTTTACAGTTTAAGATTTGCCATGAGATCCTAATTTTTGAAGAAAGAATTGCGCTGCACAGACAATACATTTTGAATAACAACATCATGAATGTAAAATGCAGCTGGAACCCAGAATAGCAATAATTTTGGTGATATCCTTTAAGCTGATTGATGGATGTGCAGATATAGATGTAATCCTGTAGTAATATTTTAATTTTTGTTAGATAACAGTAATAATAATTGGCTGAACAAGATAATAAAATGAATGAAATTAGGAAGATAAGAAAGAGCACAACTTGCATTGGTTGCTGAATTTAGGTGAATCAAGATATACTGTATTTGCCGGCGTATAAGATGCAACGGCTTATAAGACACCCTCCCCCTTTTTATATACATTTTTTAAGGATAAAACTTTATTACTGATCATTATAATTCTGCCAAGTTCTTATCATTTTCTCAGTTTCCTCTCTGCAGCCCTGTTTCCATATTCTTTAGCATATGCAATCATACGTAGCTTTTGTGCTATGTTGTAGCAATGCCAATGTTGGTTTTGAGCCATAACTTGTCAACAAATTTAAGAAAACTGAACAGTAGAAATTTCACACTCTTACAAGTCATTCACAAAAATTGGGAAGTTTAAACGAACCCAGCTGTAATCGTTGATGACATCGCATGCGCATTTACTGAGCTCTACGTAACTGTAATATTACTACATTACACAAGGAAAAAAAAATGCATTACTCCGAATAGAGGAAATTTCCAGAAATGAATAATCAAAAACTGAGTATCGACATTATAAGACGTACCTTATTTTTCAGACCTATTTTCAACAAAAAAAAAGTGTGTTTTACACACCGGCAAATACAGTAATTCTTTCTTCCTTCTCTACTACACCACCAAATGAAAGGCAGCATGTGTAACATTCTACTCCAAACAAACATTGGTGTTTTTTTTCTTATTACTTTGTATAGGCTAAATCCACCCCCCCCCACACACACACACATACACAATTATTCGAGAGCTGAAAATGAAAATGTGGTTCTTTTGTTGGCTGGTGAAAAAGCATGGTATCATAAAAAAGCATGCATGATAGTACTGAGTCATTCAGTGTTATCATAGGTGATAACGCCTTTTGTACTTGCTTTTGAGTGTCATATTCTCTGTTCCTACAATTTGTGAGGAAAGGAATGTTTCTTTTAAAAAAAAATGGTTTTATACAAGATGATTTGAATCATCTTGTATAAACTAGCAGCAATAAAAAATACTAATTAAATGTTCTATTTAAAAAGTCAAATGTGGTATGCCCGGCCATAGAGTGATTTAAATGGCGATTCAAATATGACACACCCGGCCGTGAGGTAATGTTTGCTGCTGATGCATATATGGCATGCCCGTACTGAACCAAAACCTCTGCAGCTAATCAATTTGGTTTACTCAAAAGGTGTTAATTTTTCTAATTCCCATTACTTTCTTATATTTTGTTGTGTTAGCTTTTCTTTTTCCTTTGTGGTAAGTATTAATTTTGCCATCTGACAATATATGAGCTGGTGTTTTTGCTGAAAATCTTTTTGAAGGTCCATATTTTTTTAAATGCATTTTGGCTTATTGTATGGAAATAAATTTCAGGCTGTAATAGTTCTGCTTTCTAATGTCAAACACTGCATTTATAATAACACTGTGCACTGATGTGTCAAATTTTTCAAAATTAACAGTATTTATAATGTTTATAGTATTCCAGAAATTCTTCAATTAGTATTATTATTGTAAAATTATACTGTCACTTACAAGTTATAACTGTTTATTTTTTAGGAAATGCTATGGGCTTTGTTAGAATGATACGTTCTGGGGGCATACACTGTACCAGTAATGCCATAAGATTTATCCCAGATCTTGATGACATAATTTGTTTTGAAGATTTATGTAAAGATGAAAAACTTTCTGATGCCACAATTTCAGGAGCTGTTAAACTTGATTCAGTAATTAGCAATCTGAATAAGAACTTTTCTGAAGGTACAGAATATTTCAAGGTAAGCTAATGTGTATAAAATTTGTCATATTTTATTAAGTCTTTTAAAGGTTCAGTGAAGCATACCTTTCCTTTTTTAATTTTCCAGCTACTTGTTGATGCCTTTGCTCCAGCTTTTCGCGACCCTAAAAATGGTCACATGAAAAACTTTTTTGTTATTGTTCCACCTTTGGTATGACTATCAGATATTAATTCATTCTATAAATATTAAATTTTCATTTTTTCATGGAAATTTTGCATGAAATTTGTGATTGTAGCCTAAAAAGGTGTTTTCTCTTTAGACTTTAAACTTTGTGGAGCAGTCTATATCTAGCAAAGATAAGATTTCAAGAAAAAATAAATTAGGAGCTGCCTTTACAGATGATGGCTTTGCTATGGGTAATGAGTTTTTTCTGTTTTCTATTTCCATGAAGATACTTTTTATTGCAAAAAATTTCTCTACTAACATAACTTAATACACGCAATATAAAATTATGTTGGATATGCATATTCTTTTATTTTGCAGTTAGTGAGAATTCTTGTAATTTGCTTTTTTTTATATACAAAACCCTTAATTTTCATAACAAATAAAGTTTAGTTTTGTTTTTTGGTTTATTTAGTTACGGCAAATCACACTAGGGCCATCTGCCTAAGGGGAGGGATGCCTTTGGGGAGGACTTTCTAAGGGAAACTGACTCATATACACGTTACACATGGGGAAAACCATGAAAATGCCCATGCAGCCAGCCCGTTCACGGGATTCGAAACTCGGACTGAACTACCAGTGTTCAGTGACTTTACTGCTCGGCCGCTGGTGGGCCAAATAAAGTTTGAAAATACTGAATGTTAATTTGAAAAGATGGATGCTGTTTCAATAATTTGTGTAAAAGACCGATCAAAGTACTGAAACTTGAAGGGTAGTTGAAGTAATTGCAAATATGTTTTCCCTGCATTTTATGAAATGAAGTTGTAGTCTATAAATATGTTGAAATTGAGCTTTTGCACATAAACTGGTAAACAAACTGTAGTTATGTCTAAATATTAGTGGACATATAGCCTCACTTGCAGAGTTGAAAATATTTATTTCTTTAACGCAGTGTGCTTTTAGTAAAATCTGCTTCTTGCATGCTGTCTTAGGAACTTTGACTAGCTTTCCAAATTACTTAGAATACTTCTGTTTAACCTAATTAGAGTCTAGAACATGTAAATAACCATGATTTATTTTCTTAGAAATATTATGTATGGTATCACAGTGTTTCACAACTGTAGTGGTTGCACTACAAATTCCTGATGTTCTTTATGTAAAAGCAAATGCATCATCTTCTAACAAGGAAAGTATTTCAACTTGGAATATTAAATTGTTTTTTTGGGGGGAGGGGCGGGATAGTGCTGATTCGTTAAATTTAGAGAGAATAATATTAACGAAAATTCAATATCTGTAGTTAATACAGAAAAATGAAGTTTTGAGTTATTTAGGGAAAACATAATAAGATTGAATGTGTGTGACTGCTTTACCAAGTTTGCTGTCTTTGCTCTGAGGTTAAAATTTTTGAAATAGTTTACACTTTGCTTACATTAGTGACTGCTTACTAGTAAGTTATTATACAGGTTGCCCACTAAAGTCTGGTACCACCCATTTAACTGCTGAACAGCTGCAGCTATACTCATAAAAGTGTTGTCTACATATAGTAAAGAGGCTATACATTACTAGATGAGATAGCTTACAGTGCCACCTGGTGCAAAACTTTGAAGTTAGCATCCCTATCTTGAAAACGATATGAGATCAGAAGAAAAAGTGAATTACGAAGTTGTAGAGCATCATCAATTTAGTACGAAAAGACACTTTGTGGATATGAATGCTAAAAAGTATACTAAAAATAATTAGTACACTAAATCAGTACACTAAAAATGTACATTTGTTTCTTTGCGATTTCCGAAACTGTGACATCACGAAACTTGAACGAAAGAAGAAAAGATTATCTTCCTAAAGAAACATAAGCCTGTATCACGGCAGAGTGGTATCACTTGTAATTCACAGTCAAGAGAACCCTGCGCGGGGTTGCATCCTTGTACTGATTGCCATTACAAACAGAGTTGACAATATGCAGATGGTGCACAATCGTGTCACTAAGTGCATCAACTCAATGCAGCTTGAGCTTGGTGTGCGAATTTGTGCATTATGCAAATAACATACCTGCCAACTTTTATGAATTTTTCGTAATTTTTACGAAAATGCGTTTGTCTTTACGATTTTATGATCGTAATCCATTTTTTACGATTTTTTTCCTTTTTCAAGTATTTATAGTGATTTTTGTCGAAATTTTAGAATTTTCGCCAATTCAGCGATTTTTGCCAATTGCATCGTGTTTTAACCGCCAAACTACCAACTACTTCGAATCCAGTAGTACCTGCGGTTTCTCCCAACTCGCCGGCTAAACCAGCCATTATTTTTTTCGCAATGTTGCTGACCAGCTTGTGCAATTACTCAGCTCGGATTCAGCGAGCATGGATTGTCGCAATTCTGTTTTTTTTTTTTTTTTTTTTTTTTCCACATGCTACAAATTTTCTTAATACGTCGTTGTTACGAAATGAGTTCAAAAAAACCGTATTCTCAATATTTTCGGCTGCCTATAAAGCCGAACAATTAAAGAATCCTTCAAAGGTAACTGCATTTTGCAACGTGTGTGACTTCATAATAAGTCACGGTGGAAGAAGCGACATTGTGAAGCATGTTAAGTCTAAAAAGTATGAAGTTAATGCTTCGGCTTTGACAACGTCAAAGAAAGTGGATGATTTTTTTTTTTCAAATTCGGCTGCCGATGTCATTTTGGCAGAGTGTTTGTTTACTGCATTCCTCATCGAACACAACGTGCCGCTAAGCGCTGCGCCGGTCAACTTTTCAGACGGATGTTTCCCGACTCCAAGATTGCTCAGAAATATCAAACCAGGGAACTTGTAAATTCTTTGAAAGATCATGAGAAAAAAATAATTTTTTTCAATGTGTCAGAAAGTACTTTTCCTCAGCCTGTAATTACATTGTAAGGAAGTTTCCTTTGCAAAATGAAGTTCTTTTAAATGCTGAAGTGGCAAATTTGAAACAAATTGAAAATTCATCTTTTGAAAAGATTCGTTTTTTTACTGGTAAATTTCCATTTTTGTTAACAATTAAAGAAAATGAATGCCATAATGATGCTTTAGATGAACTACAGAACCAATTTTCTGCTGCACAGTTTGAAGACTTTGCCAGTTCTGGAGAAGATAGACTTGATGTCCTCGTTGGTACCTTAAAAAGAATAAAAAGAGCTGATGGAACACCAAAATATGATAGACTAGCAAGAGTTTTATGTGCTATTCTCGTAATTCCACACAGTAATGCTGAGTGCGAGAGAGCCTTCATTGTTTTGAAGAAAAACAAAACTATGTTTCGTTCTTCAATTTCACCAAAAACTCTAGAAAACATTTTAATTGCTAAATGTTATGAGAAAACTAATTGTTTCCAAAGAATTTTTGGCTAAAGCCAAAAAATGCTCTCTAAATTCATTGCAATAATTTTTTTGTGTAACATTAAGTTCTTGTTTTATGTTTCCTAATAAATTTTTTAGTTACTACTTAATTGAGATTTACTAATGGAAGTACAATTTTCTTTTTTCTATTTGTATAATTTTTTTTTTTTTTTTTTTTTTAATATCAAAGCATGATATTAATTCTTCGTGTTCTTCTGAATTTTGGAGGAATCTTCTGAACTTGGGGGAAAAATCTTCTGAATTTTTATCTTTAGAGGTTGGCAGGTATGAAATAATGTATGAAATGTCACACCTGTTCACCTGAGACAGCTATAAAAGAGATATCTCCTCGAGGTTGTTTGTTGAAGCTCATGGTCATGGAGCGATTTTCAAAAAATGATTATTGTGAGATGGTTCTACTTTGTGGTGAATGTGGGTGCAAAGCACAGTGCAGTTATATCAGTAACGTTTTCCAGCTGGCCTACATCCTTCACACAAAACCATCCTGCAGGTTTGAAAACGTTTAAGGGAGACAGGTTGCATGACTAGCCGACTGTGATCCGGCAACCACCTTAGGTGGGGCAGAAAGTACAGCTGAAAGATATCTTAACATACACCATCACATATCCAAACAGCAGCACAAGAGATAAGTGAGAACTGTGGTCCCCCCCCCAAAAAGTCACATTTTTCCAAAAGTCCTAAATGAATTAGATGCTCATTTATACCAGCCAACACTTAATCAGGCATTACTGGACATGGATGCCGAGAGTCATTTTGCATGGTCCAACTTCATCATGAATCAGAGGTCCAGCCAATATTCTTCAATATTCTGACGGATATATGAATGGATGAGGCATACTTTTCCCGGAATGAAATGTACAATAGGCAGAACACCCATTACTGATCACTGGAAAATCCATTATGTTCTGTGACGTTCGCCATCAAATATGCTTTTTGATTAATGTTTGGTGTGGAATTTATAATAACAAGCTAATTGGCCCAATATTTTACCAGGGTATGTTAATGGCCACATGATATTTAGAACTTCTGCTAGACATAGTACCTGCTTTTTGTTGAGAACCTGCCATTGCTTCAACTCTGGAATGGATGGTTCCAACGTGACAGCATGTCTGCATGCAAGACATTGCAAGCGAAGCAGTACCTGATGGAGGAATTCGGAGAACGAATAATCGGGTATGGTGGTTTCAAATAGTGGCCTCTATTATCACCTAACCTGACTCCAATGGATGTTTTCGTATGGGAATACCTCAAACAGCAGATGTATGTGACCCCTCCACAAACATTGCAGGATCTTCGACAACATATTACAGATGCTTGTGCAAACATGTCACCCTCTATGCTACAATGCGTGCAACATGAAGTTCTAACAAGGGTCCAGATGTGCATTTCAGCTAACAGAGAGAAGTCTGAACATCAAAAATAAAGGTGGCTTCTGATAACTAGTTTTTTTCCCCCCTTTTCTAAGATAGTTTCTTGATGTCACAGTGTAGAAAATCGCAAAATAAACAAATGCATGTTTAAAACGTTCTGTTCTTAACATTCATGTCCACAAGGTGTCTTTTCATACTAAATCGATGATGCTGTACAACTTTCTACTTCACTTTTTCTTCCTATCTCATATTGCTTTCGAGACAGGGACGCTAACTCTACTGTTTTCCACCAGGTGGCAGTGTAAGATATCTCATCTAGTAGAGCATAGATGTTTTACTATATGTAGGTACCTATTTTTATGACTATAAGCTGCAGCTGTTTGGCAGTTAAACGGGTGGTACCGAAATTTATTGAGCACCCTGTATAGTTAAATGAAAGCAAATTGCTGAGTTTGTGATAGAAACTGCATGGTTTTATTGGGTAATGTGCATAAAAGATATAACTGTTTTTGCTACATTTCACCTGTTCAATATATCATAATTAGACTATTATAGATTGTTACCTGCAATGAGTATTTTTGTATGGCATGAATATGAGAGGAATTTGAAGCATCTTTTGTACAGTGAGATGATTTTCAGAATTTCTTGCATTTTCAAAGATTATTTTGATTTTTATGCTGTCTATTTTGCTTTATCTGTTCTGCATAATCAAGAACTGCATTTTAACCCTTGAAACATAAGGAATTATTAGCATTTGCAGAACGGCAAATCCATGTATGGTTTCTGCCTACCTCAAAACATAATTATTGATAGTCTGTTACTGTCCAGAATCCTTATCTGCAATAAACTGTAGATTAACATATATTTTATGTATATTACATGTTGTATTCTTATGATAACATAAATTTGAGAAGAAAAAAACACTAAGCAAGCCCTCTCGATAACTCAGCTAACTGTGCTTCTAGTGCTAGCAGAAGATCGATGATTTTTCCCCAGTTATGTTTATGTCTCTTGCTCTTAATGGCACCATGTGAAGTTTGTAAGTGTTTATGTCATAAAATCTCAAAATTCTAAATTTTTGAAGCAAATTTGCTTTAATTTTTTTATTAGTAAATGACAATACATAATAATATGTACATTTTTTCACTCAAGATGTACATAGCATTTAAAAAAACTTTTGTAGTATTTTTTAAGTGCATTTGTTTTCTGATCTTTTTAAATTTTTCTGTAAATCTCCAAATGATTTTTTAACATATTTGTTGAAAAAAGGATGCATACAAGTGGACCTGCCCATTCAAATTTTTATACTTCAAGGGTCAACTGTTTTATCTTTATGAATATTGTCAAAGTGTGAGCAAATGTGAACTGAAGCATATTGGTACAATTAAGTAATAAATCTTATTCTTGAAACCTGTAAATGAATACATACAAACAAATGCTTGCAAACACTTATTTAGCAAGTGCATACAGGTGGACCTGCACAATTCAAACTTTCACACTTCAAGGGTCAACCGTCTTGTTTTTATGAATATTGTAAAACTATTAGCAAATACTGACTGAAAATAACATATAGGTAACAAATCTAGTAACAAATATTATTCTTGAAAACTGTAATTGAATGCATATATAGAAATGATTCCTTAGATATCTCACAAATGCTTACTATGCGAATAGTTTTGGGTGTAAACAAGCAAATCTTGGTTCTCAGAGAAATAGATATGACATATTTACCAGCAGATTTTCATAAGTATATACAAATGAATTTTTTAACAGAAGTGTCCCATATTAATAACGTATTTTGGTTGAAAAATATAATAATAATCATCCCTGAGAAAGTGCTCTTCAAAGATATTCCTCCCTTTAAGCCGATAGCCATTGAATGTCTTATCATAATCAATTAACTTAACCTAACCTAGCCTGCTTGCATGGTACCTTTTATTGTTATTTTTATTACACATGGATCTGATCATGAGTTGCTGTGAATTCTTCATTTTAGATAAATCTGTGTTTTTTGGGTTGTATATTATGCTCTATTTTAAAAGTAATTTTGGAATTACATGATAAATATCTATGAAGAGGTTAAACTGTCCCCTCTTTTTCATATCCTGAGTTCATTTTGAAATGTATTGCTAAGCTTTATTGCAACTTGCTTGGTTACAATCCACACAAACCACATAGGAATAGATCTTAAGGATAACAGCTGTTAAGATTTTCATGGCATGCAAAATTAAAAGCAACAAAGAAAATGAGGCTAGAATATTGAGAAACTTTTTTAATTAATTCAAAGTTTCAGTTATCGCACTTTCCATAATTGCTAATAGTGTGTATTCATGGAATATGATGACAAAAGTAACACAGTCTTCCCATATTTATGGGAAGGCCACTAGTAGCCTATATGAAAATAAGTTATTCAATGCATATTGGTGGATATGCGGTATTGTTTATGAGAAATATGTGTTTTTATGAAAGAATTCTTTTGTTCTCCCCCCTCCATCAAAAAAAAAAAAAAAACTTGTAGTTCATCCATATTTCTCGACTACAATTTCCCATTGGCACAGCACATCTGTTTTTGCTTTACTTTAAAATTAGTTGCATTGGAGGTTTAATGAAACATTGTCTAAATTTTTGGAGAAAACAAATTTTGTAAATGAAGGAGAAACCTAAAGTCTTAAAATAAATAGCAATGGAAATTACATTTCAAAAATATAAAAGTAATCATTTATGTACATAATTGTGTTTAAAAATGCAGTGCTCTTGTATGAAAGAATGCTTAATGTATGAGATTGTATAGATGATCTAAAATTTGCATAATTCACTAATCTGCAACTCCATTGTGGTCTCAAGGTGTGGAGATTAAAGTGATTCTGCAGAAGTTTATATTTTTATTTCAAGAATTGATCACTAATCTTAGGAAACACCACATTGAAATTTTGAAAAATTTAAAAATAGCATTTCATCACCAAGTATCAAAGCTAGTAATTTTTCCATTATTTTTATTTAGATGTGAAAATTCATGCATACTTTTCCCCGAAGCACTAAACTTTGAATGCTCAGAGGTTTGTTTTTTAAGACACTATTGTCAAATAGTTTATCAGTATTTTTGGATCTCTGATCTTTTTTAGCAGTTAATGATGGCCATTCCTTTTTAGATTTTAGAATTATTTGTTCATTTAATTTTGAAATGTGTTGACAGATCCAAAGTTGACAGTCATGTTGAAACATATTTTAATTAAAAAATTTCTGAGATGGCATCTGATACCTGTAACAGAGTTTGCATTTATATTTTTTGGGAGTCTGAAATACTGTAAGTGCACATATTGGATGAAAAATATTGCCTTATTCTCTCTTATAATGCTCTCTCATAAACTGAATGATTGAATTATTATGATGCAATGATAGATAATTAATAGAGAGTACTGTGAATTAGTATAAGATGGTTGTGAAATGCAAATACTAATTTTGTTAGTGAAAATAATTGCCATTCAGAATATCCAAGTAATTTCATAATTCAAATGTAAGGGAGAGAAAATAACGTTAAAAAGATTCTAGTGTGATTTTGTGGGGGGGGGAGTAGTTTAGGCGTATTTCTTATTGAAACAAAAGCAGAGAAGATTAGATTTAATTGTTTTTACAGCAAAGCCTGCAAGGGTTACCTGTCCAAGAGGTGGCAAGAGTTTTTAAGCGAATCTTCCCGTTTATATTATACCTATTCCATTCATCACGTATGCTACACTCGCTGGATCTCACCAACTTTCATGAAGGCAACACTGATTTTAAAAACTGGAATTTATTTCCATTTCTAGCATTAATTAAAAAGGCTGTGCTGTGATCACGGTTCCACAAACGGCCAGGTCCATCTGACTATTTAATTGACAGGGGACAAAATTGCAAGGAGCTTTAGACCAATAAGAATAGAGGCAAGGGATAACATTTACAGCACTGAGCATTCAAACTGCTTGGAATATTTCTTCTTTCATCATTTCATTGTCTACTTTGAGAATCGTACTCTATTGGATGTATGTAAATGACTTGAAAGATTATTGTAACAAAAACACAGTAGGATGTGCTGCTTTCTTTTGCAGAAGATCCTGCTGTTTTTAGGGGAAAATTAACCCAGGTATTCAGGTGAAGGAAAAGAAAAGAGATGAGTAAAATGGCATTGCATATAATTTAAATGCGCCCCTGTAGGCTACATAAAAACAATGAAAAAATGTATAAATGTAAATGAATGAATCTTTCCCCCAAAAAACTTTTTTAAAATGAATACTTAAAATACTTAAATTTTTAAACTGATTAGTTTTTGTTGTAATTTAGTTGCAGTCTGAAAACAATTTGGTTATCATACATATTAAAAACATTTTGATCGAGCATTTATTTAGCAATGAATGCCACTAATTTCTTTTGCTTGAGTAAACAGAAGCAGAAAAACAAAATTTATGAATGATACTATGAAGCTTTCCTTAATTTGATAAAAGTTATCATTCCAAAACCTCTAACAGATGTGAAGTGAATTATCGCTAAGGCTGAAAGTAACCTCAAGCCAAAGAGAGGAAAGGTTAAAATAAACCTTTTTATTTAAACAGAACGTATAACATGAATGCATTTTCTTGTGCTAACAAAATCAGCCTCAACTTGTGATGATATAACTAAAGGAGAAGTCAGATTCAAATTAAATGGGGTCAAAGACTGTGCAGTTTAAATGTACTGTAAGCTGGCTCAGTAATTCTACCAGCATACCAGATTCAAATGTTGCTAGTGATGTAATACAAAGCCAAATAATTGCAACTTTTCTGAGCTGGCAGGAACTGAGTATGCACATGCAGGCCAGAAATGCACTCTAGTTTATAAACTAAAAACCTCAGTTTAAATGCTAACTCATTTACATTGTGGTGAGGAACCAGAAAAGAGAAGTTATAGTAAAGGCTAAAATTATAATGGTTAATTTAAAAAACTTTATGATACTCACTCAAACCATATATTTACCTATTATGGGAAGAGGGGTGGGTAATAGCTTGATTATTTAAATATTGCTTTGCTTCTATTTCAAGCCATGCTTTTGATTTATATATATAAGAACTGCTTATATTAAATATGTTTCTTCCCTTCTAAAACAATCTTATGCAGCAGAAGCAATTAAAACAGTACTTTTTTCTGTATCCTAAAACAAACCATCTTGTGAAAGAAGTTAACCTCATGTATTCCTGCTTTTAAGTTAGGAGTGATTTTAATAGGAATACAGTGATATTGAATTCTTAAGTTTTACTCTTTGAGTGGTCAATGAAATTTTTTATAACTTTTCAGGAGTTGCCTACATATTGAAGCTTTTAAATCTGTATCAAGATTTTGATTCCCTTCATTGGTTTCAGTCTGTTAAAGAAAAATACTCAAAAGACAGAGTAAGTTCACTGAAAACTATCTTTAAAATAATGTAAAATAATTAGAAATGATCTTTAATATCAGTTTGACATGTTATTGATTTTTCCCCTTCCTTATTTGCTACTTTTTTAAATGGGTACATGACTATAACTCATGTGAAATAAACTTTTTATTCCTTTAGTAATTCATAAAAATACATAGATAACTTTTATGTAGCCTGTCAGATTATGAAAGCAATTAAATTAATGTAGACAAAATTTATTTTTTAAAAATGCTATGATATTAGATAAATTTTTTCCTGATATTTTAGAAGCATAACATAGACAAATGTCTTATATTTTAAACTGATAAAGCTTGCAGATTCTTTAACTGTCCTGTTGAACAAAAATTTCAAAAGCATCCTAGCAAATTAATACATTGTTGCAGACTACCAGTGTGTTGATATCTCTGAATAAATCACGGTAAATCACTTCAAACAGTTTAAGCAGAATGCAGATGTTAACCCCGTACTGATACCTGATTTTCAACAAAACAATAAAAAAGTTCCAATTTCTTATTTAAGACAATTGTTTAAAAATAAGTGTATGAACAATAAGTATTTATTTTTAATTTTTGGAATGTTTTGAGCTTAAAGTCAGGGTACTGCCATCTGGTATGTAAAAAAAGAAATAAAATTTTTTCTGGGTATAAGAAATAGATTTTTTTAAATCGTTTTGGTACATTTCTTTTGAATGCTCTTGCCCGGAAATACCATAGGCACTTGAAAAAGGGGGCGAAGCCTCACCCTGTAATTTTGGCGAGAATGAGAAGGAAGGAGTTAATCAGTTCCTTCTATGTGCTCGAGAAATATTGACAATTGCCAAAATCGTTTATCAGCTAATGTAAAATGTCATAACTGAATAACAAGACAAAGTCTCAGCTGTATTTACAGTGTAATATGGGAGCATGTCTGGTGTTACACAAGCTTTTAAAAATTTCTGGAAACATCATTCAGCAAGTCTTGTGAAAAGCATACCTTGCATTTTGCTTAACCTTCCAGCATGAGCGTATGCTCAAAATTTACAACAAATTCCATTTTTAATGGACATTTTTCGCATATCGAAGCTGAGACGTCTGAAGGTCATTTCTATTCCTCCTTTCTACCCGTCCCCCACATCATGGAATGCTCCAACAGGAAGTCATTTGACTTTCTTTTTAAACTGGGCTTTTGTGCTATGTGGCAGCCCTTTAACAAAAGTTAGAACATGCACGTGGTCGTGTTTGAAAATTTGGAAAATGTTTTTTTTTTCTCAAATACTTTGTAATTTTGTCTTATTAATTGCCGTGTATTATTTTAATTTGAATATTAATTTATATATTGGTTTTCATGGCAAAGAAATATATGCAACCAGCTGATTTTGCTAGGATTCTTCAAGAATTATCTGATGAAGAAAAGGAAGACAAGGAAACCTTTGGATGGGAGAACAATAGCGATTTCCATTCCTTATTTTCTTTTATCTTTATTTTTTAGAAGTAAATAAAAACATTAAAGTTAGTTTAAAGTGCATTTTTGTAACCAGTAAAGAAAACCAGTAAAGTAAATTTCCTTGCAGAAGTAAGTAATGCTAAACTTACTTTTTTCCCTACAAAGGTGTTTTCCTTTTTTATTGTCTATACTTGTCCTTTGATGAATATTAAAATTAGCTTCAATTTTAAAATATAATTATTAAACAATAAATTAAAAATTTTCTATAATGAAATACATCATTGTATTTCCATCTCACTAACATAAGAACTTAAAAATAATTTACTTATATTTGAATGTGATATCGTTTGTATTTTGCAATAATAAGATTAATATTTTATTTCTTAACAAATTTATTATCAATATTCACACATTTCGTGTCATTTTTCGTGCCAAAAACGGTAAAATAACAGATGTCATAAAAAATACAACGTGCACGTGCTCATGTAAAATTGTCAAGCGTGCGTGCTGAAAGGTTAAGCTATTTTTACAATTTGAATGTTACAACACTCAGAACAGCAAAATCAATGTTTCCATGTAAGAAACAAACACTGATATATAAAAAGTTATGCCACAAATACAAAACACGTAAATAAAGAAACTAAATCGGTGTGAAATATTACAACAGTGTAATTGGCAATAATCGCTGAGGTATTGGTGTAGGGCAGTGATTCTCAAATGGTGGTACGCAAGAGAAAAATAGATGGTATGCAAAGAAACAAAGTATTTTTAACTATTAAATTCAAAAATTAAATACCCCAACAGCCTGTTTACATTTTTTTCTCAAAATTTATTCGATCTGAGCTTTGTTTAGATCATCAGCTGCTCATAGAAATAAGCAGAATAATCCGTTTTTATTTTCACAAATATTCTTTTAGACATGACAACAAAATTTGTCATAAATGATGTTTTTGAAAGGAGTAGTAAAAATGGATGTTGTATTTGCTAGGAAATAAAGTATGTTCTCATTAATTCTTTTACAGTTGATCGATTTATTAGCATGTCTACACTTTAAATTGCTACTACTTTTGTGCTCATATTGCTCTATTTTCAATTAGAATAATTTATTTTTTGTCGATCTGCTGTCTCTAACAGCAGGTATTTTGTCTTATTGTTTCTTGGTATTCCTTACTTTTCTATGCAATTTGAGAATATCATCATTTGTTTTTGAAGAACTCATAATATATTGTGAATTTGAATAGTGAAAAAAGTGAAAATTTTCTTCTGTGATTCAAAATTTGAATTTCTGACTGAAGTTATGAAACACAATTTAAAATGTTGCCTCTGCATAACCACCTTACTTTGGAATGTAACAAAAGCATTTCATGCTCACTACCCATCTATTGGCATAAAATCGTAAATATCCTTGAATTTAAAGCTCGACTTTTAATAAAATTAACAATTTTCACAGCTCGATTCTGTGATTAAAAATTTGAATTGCAAAAATGTTTATTAGTGAATCGTGGTTGATGTGTTTAGCATATTTAGTTGATATTTTGGGAAAATTAAATGAATTAAATTTAGGATGACAAAGACGAAGGTTTAATTTGTTTACCGTTAGAGATAAAATAAATGTGGTGCTAAAAAACTAATAATCAAAGAATTGGATTTAGGATGACAAAGACGAAGGTTTAATTTGTTTACCGTTAGAGATAAAATAAATGTGGTGCTAAAAAACTAATAATCAAAGAATTGGATAATAATATTTTAAAATTTTTGCCACTTTTTGAAAGTTTTCTAAGCGAAAATAAGTTGAAAATAAAAGAAGAATTAGCATTTGACATTAAAAATCATTGTTTTTCATTGATAAATGATTTCAACATGTACTTTCTCTAGGATTATGAAAAAGAAAATTGGTTTCGAAATCCATTTTGTTCAAATCTCCCTGAAATTTTATCTCGTGAAGAAAAAGAATAATTGATAGAAATTTCCTGATTGATAGAAATCTAACTGAAGATTTCAAAAATAACACACTTGTCAACTTTTGGCTGAACAAACAAAAAAAAAAAAAAAAAAAAAAAAAAGAGAGAATTTAAAATCATTAAATTTTTATTGCCTTTTTGCACACCCTGTTTGTGTGAACAAGGATTTTCTTCCATGCTACATTTGAAAAATAAATACAGAACAAAAAAGTGGATCCTAGTTTGCAGTTAAAACTAAGTGAAATAAGACCAGACATAAAAAATTGATCTCTCTTAAACAGGCCCAAATTTCGCACTAAATTTTAGAATTAAAGTGTGCATATTTAATACATATTACCAATAGGTTGTACAAATGGCAAAATATGCATTTTTAAAAATATTTCTATTGAGAAATTGTAAAATGTAATGGTACTAAAGTTTTTCAATTTTTTTAAGATGGTACACATTAGTCGAAAGGTTGAGACCTGATGTGTAGGGGATTTTATGCCCACAAAAAATGTATGTTTGCAGTCTGAATTTTGCTAGCAAGTGGCAGTACTTGATAGCCCCATGGCAAAAATGTTGCCTTGATACCATGGAAACAGTCAATGTAATGGAGTCTAGAACAGAAACTGAGAATTTTTGTGTGGTGATTTATGCCTGTAATCATTTATTTGGTTATTGTTCTCATTATTATAGCTTTTAGATATTAATGTGTTTATATTGTAGCCTACAGCATTCTTTCTTCAAAGAATGATGAGTTAGTTTTATACTGTGTTATATTTATATGCAGGTGTGTGCTTTTAAATCAGTGATTCTCAACCTTTTTTTTTTTTTTTTTTTTTGTTGTTGTTGTTGCGGCACACTTTTAACAATTTCAAAGGCGGCACACAAAGGAAAAGATAAGTTTAAAAGTTGTTTACTTATCTAAATAATAAACTGTGTAAAATAGTTTATGATAATAATTTTGAATGTAAAATAAAATAATATGTATTACAAAAACGTTTATTAAGAGATTAATTACAAGTTAATAATAAGAATATTTTTAATGAGAAATTTGAGCTTGATATTTTTGATAATTTCATTTATATTTGGTCATAAATGACAATGCTACTCTCATATCGTCTTCTATATTTAATAAGCTCGCTCTTTTTTTCGTTTTTATATTGGTTAATACTGAAAATCCGAATTCACACAAATAAGATTTAGAAAGCTGCAACAATATTTTTAAAACTTTTTTTGGCCATCATGGGATAAATACATTTAATATTAATCCAAAATGAATTTATTGATTCTTCCGAATATTTTAAAATTAAATCTTGATTATTAGAAAGCGAAATTAGTTCCTCTTCGTTCAAAGTTAATCCAAATACAGATGTCTTTGGCACCAAAATCGGCTTGGATACCTAATTTGCACACTTATTAATGTCTGAAAAACGGAATTTCACGAATTCTCATGTGTACCTTATACTAGGATTAAACCCATTATAATTTTTACTATATACATTTCTAAAATTTGGCGGCACAAGAAAAGTGCACCAGCACAGTGGTTGAGAATCACTGTTTTAAATGCTTGCTTAGGAAAATGCAGTACTAGATCTAACCAGAAATCTTA